TATATTTTATGGAATTGCTAATCCCGAATAAGCAGTTTACTTTATTTTTCAAAAAAAAAAAAAAAAAAAAAAAAAAATGCTGACGCAGAAAATATACGACAAGATATTAGTAAAATATTAGTAAAACTAGGTTTACTCAACAATGATAAAACAAGGTTAGGTTTACTCAACAATGATAAAACTAGATTAGGTTTACTCAACAATGATAAAACTAGGTTAGGTTTACTCAACAATGATAAAACTAGGTTAGGTTTACTCAACAATGATAAAACTAGGTTAGGTTTACTCAACAATGATAAAACTAGGTTAGGTTTACTCAACAATGATAAAACTAGGTTAGGTTTACTCAACAATGATAAAACTAGGTTAGGTTTACTCAACAATGATAAAACTAGGTTAGGTTTACTCAACAATGATAAAACTAGGTTAGGTTTACTCAACAATGATAAAACTAGGTTAGGTTTACTCAACAATGATAAAAATGGTCTTGCAAAAAGAACTAGGTTTACTATTACAGTTAATTTAAGTTTACTTAAGCCAATGTAACTTTTAATATATAAACGCAATTAGAACTATACCGAATTTTGTTCCTATTAGACGATCACTTATGATCGTAGTTGCAGAGGCATTTTTACAACATTTGGAATATATATTGGAGATTTGATACATTAAAAAAACGCTAAAAATTTTTGAAATTTTTAAATCAACAAGACCTTGTAATTTAATCATCGGAAATAGAAAAAGAAAGGAAGAAATTAAAAATACAGTTTTAAATTAAAATTTCACCGTGATTTTAAAATCCGCAATTACGAATAAACAAATAAAACCGAATTCAAACATTATTCCTGCAATAAATTCAGGAGTCTTCAGCAAGAGCTTAGAAAAAAAAAACAGAGTTGGAGCTTTTAACAAAAAATTATTTCAAAATCAAAAACAATCTTGCAACCTGCATTAAAAATTTTTTGATGTAGTTGCAGATAAAACATAAAAGATGGATTCCAAAACTAGGATCAAAAAAAAAGAAAAGAGCTCAGGAGATACGGTGTTAAAGTTTTATTTACAACACCGCCAACTTTTGGCTTAATTAATCTTCCCACCGCTTTTGAAGAAAAACAATGGTGATAAAAATGTGTCTTAAAAGTTAACAAATAAAGTCATTTTTGTAGTTAAAAAATGGTGTCTAATTGCTTATTCAACCACAAACTCAAGTAAAAAAAGTCGACAATATTATTCACGTAGATGATATGTTCAAGTGACACTATTAATACAAGCTTTTTTGAGATTGGAATTTCGCCTTTAAAAATAAAACGTGTTAGTGAGAGAAATCATGCTATGTAAACGGAAAAATGCGGAAAGTGCAAATAACAATTGCTGAAAAAATAGCTGCTGTCAGTGGTTTATCATCAAATAGTAATGCCAATGGAAAATTAGGCAGCGTTTAAAGTCTTGTGTTACACACTCACTCAATCTTATGACACTAACTATGTTTTTTAAAACAGGGTTGTGCTTTAAAAATACCACACACATACAAAACTAAATAAGCAAACATAAGATGTTTACTCGTAATATTATTACTTTTTTCAATGTTTGTGTATGTTGGTCTTCTGCAAAAACAAATAAAGATTTATGTAAGTACATAGTTTACATTATATTCTTTAAATATTTATACCAGGGGTCGGCAAATTCAATGTTAAAATGTGGGTCTCCAGCTCCATGCACAAATACTATTATAATATTGAAAAAAAGATATTAGTAGCTCTTTAAAAACTGGAAAATATTATAAATTTGGCTCTTCCGTCTTAAAAGATTGCCAACCCTTGGTTTACACAAGTTAATTAATGCATTATTTTGTTACACTTGACTCTATTAGAAATTGTTTGCTTTCAATGTGAAATTGGATTAGGTCTAAAGTTAAAGTAAGTAGGATTGGCACATACACGGATTGTGAATACTCTGCACTGTACATAAATTATGATAATTATTAAACATTATCTAGGACTAGGGCTGTCGACGGTTACACGGGTACCTGCCCGTTGCTTATTACCTGGGTAACATTATCAAATGCTTCCCGTTATCCCAAATGCTACCGATATTCATGCAAAAACAATATATATACATATACATATATATATATATATATATATATATATATATATATATATATGTATATATATATATATATATATATATATATATATATATATATATATATATATATATATATATACATATATAAATATATATATATATATATATATATATATATATATATATATATATATATATATTCATATATATATATATATATATATTATAATTTACAAATGACTAATTATATATATATATATATATATATATATATATATATATATATATATATATATATATATATATATATATATATATATATATATATATATATATATATATATATATATATATATATATATATATATTAAGTTTTCAATCATTAATCGTAATATAACAATGTTATGTGAAAGAAGATCTTGAAGATCTTGTCAAAATTTCAATACGATTTCTTTATCATAGTAAGAACTTGGGAAAACGAAGAATATTCTTCGAAGAATATTCTCCTCCATCAAAGTTTTAATCTTATGTTTTTTTAAATTCTATAACTGGAAAGATTTTTTTAACATTAAAATAATATTGATTTGCAGTTTTTCGATAGGTTGCGTGAATTCAATTTTTTTTTCCTTTTATCTTGCACTGAAAGAGGTTTAAACTAAGAGTGTTTGCTTGTAGCAATTACTTTTACTTCTATTCACTTTTTTTCAGAGCAATATTTTGTAATTTTAAATGGTTTTATGTATTAAAAAAATGTTCATTAGTTAAAAGTTGAATGAAACTTTTTTTTCTAAACATTTAATTTTCAATCACTTTTTCTTAAAGTTATGAACTATTATTTGGAGGAGGTTGGAACTATTACTATTATTTGGAGGAGGGTGGGGGGCTGTAAAAGTTTCGATAAAGTTGTAACTACAACTTTATCCGGAAACGTTTTAATGATTTTAAACGTAAATAAAATGACATTGTTATACTCGCATATTGAACATAAAAAAATAAGTCAAAATCTCTACATCTTTTTACAATTAAATATGTTGCTCTTTAAAATAAAGTACATTTGTAAAAAAAAAAACATTAGTAAATCTCTTTTACAATAGCATCCTCTCTCAAAAGCACAAACACAAAAGCACATACACAAAGAGTCAAGTAAGCTGGTTTTGACGTGCCATCTAATAATAATACTTTAAAGGGAGACAATTTAAATGTACATTTATATCTTATAAACCTTTGAAATACTAACTCTTAAAAAAAAATTTATTTCATCATTTGTGAGTCGTTTATCTAGTGGGAACAATGGTGTTAAAAATTCTTTTGTTAAAATTTGGTTAGCGCGAGTATACTGTAATTTTCTATATCTTTGCAATGTGTCATTATAAAATGGATGTAATGTTATTAATTATTTATTTTTATTTTTTATATTTAACATTAAAAGGTTTTGTTATATAAATAAATAAAAAAGTAAACATTTTCATTATAGAATGTTATTAATTTATTAATACGAATTCTTATTATTATTTGTTAATATTTTTCTAATGGATTTTCATATACATTTTATAATAAAATACGTTTATTATCAAAATTCTTTTAAATATAAAATTGACTTTAGTTAACCTATTGTGATATTCTATTATACTATAGAATATTATAATAAAAATATTACGAAATATTATGAAGTGTTAGAAAATATTTCGATTACAGTATAGATTTTCTCTAATTTTTTAAAAATAATTTTTACAACAAAGAATAATGTAATTGACATTTTCAAAATGGCAACTTAGCTATAAATGGTTATTAAATATTTTTTATAAATTCAATAAGGTCAGTTTACTTTAAGTCAGCCTAAATATAAAATATATTAAGTTTGTAACGAATGCCAACAAGAAAAACAATTATTTTTACATTCGATTAGGGAACCTAAACGTGTTTATGAATCACGCATAAGCGCATGCACCACGTTGCTCTGAAACATTTTTTTTTTACATATATTTTAACTTAAAAAATTTTTTTTTTTAATTTTTATTTATTAAATTACCAAAATAATCACACAAGACATTAAACTTATTCAGTAATCAAATATCTGGAGGATAAGTTAATAAAATTGAGAATTGTTCCCAACAATATTGATTGGATATTAATGGTTACAAGACCAGGTCATGTGAAGCCAATTTTTTTGTTCAACATATGAATCCCGTTTTGCATCACGTAAACTTGTATTATAATAAGGTCTTTGAGTGCATAGAAGTAAATAAAATAACAACAAATATGAAAAATTGTATTTACCATTAAAAAGTATTTCTATTTGTTTGTACTATTCAAAAAACTTAAACACAAAGAACAATTGGCAAACAAAGAAGTAGAGAAACAGCTGCAGAATCTAAAAAGAAAAAAAAATTCAAAAAAAATAGTATTAAGAAGAACCCTGGTAGGTGCAGGGAGACCGCGTGTTTTTGAGTAATAAATGTTAAGAAAAACGGTCTTTCTCTGATATTTAAAAACGTGTATGCTCTTTGTTTTAAACGAACCTTGCATATTAAATAATTGCAGCTACAACTTGGGAAAAGTGCATATTTTATTCATTTGTTTTTAATTTATATATATATCCTTTTTCACAATTTAATATTATGTGTTCTTAGTTTTTCTACAAATAAAGATAAACTTATATATTATATTTTATTCGTATATATTATTAACTTATTATATTTATATTATATATAAATATATATATATATATATATATATATATATATATATATATATATATATATATATATATATATATATATATATATGTATATATATATATATATATATATATATATATATATATATATATATATATATATATATATATATATATATATATATATATATAAATTTTGCGTATATTTACTAAACTGAGTATTATATGTTTTATGTTGTATATAATAAAAACGATGGGTATTTACAGAAGAATTGTATTCAACTAAATTTGCTAACTTTCGATAGGAATAACACGCGAAAAGCGATAATCAAGAATGGACGCAATAATTCATCCTAAATCGGTTACTTCGTGTGCAACTGTACTTCTGAATATATTTAAAAAACGTCGTAACAAATATAAGCCATGCAAATGTTGCACATGCATGTGTCATATGTACGAAAGTAAAGATAAAAATAGTTCTGAAATGCTAGAAATAAATGACAATAAGTTTTTTAATTGCAAATGTAACCATGAATGTCATAAATTATCAAATTGTAAAGAGTGCGAAAAATTGAAGCAGAGTAAGCGTCAACGCCCGAAAAAAAAAATTGTAAAATTTCAAATTCAGCATACAGCAAGCATGAACAGTTTAACATCGCCGTACAAACTCAAGGCAAGCATGAATAGTTTAACATCACCTAATAGACACACAACAAACACGAGTAGTTTAACATCACCTTATAAACTAACAGCAAGCACAAACAGTTTAGCTTTGCCTTACAAAGTATGCTCTTGTGATAAATTAAAAAATACCTTATCTTTGTGCAAAATGGTCCACGGAAAACCGTGTTCGGACAGTTTATGTAGCCCTGTTCAACGAAGTTTAATAGAAAAGAATGATAATCAAGAAAGATTTTTTAGTCCTTTTTGTTCTGAAATTAGAAACAAATCGGAGAGATTATCTCAGTCTAGGTATATATTGCAAGACTAGCAAAATAAACTGGCTTTTTATGTTTGCATAAGGCCATTCTTTTATTTTATTTTATTTAGATGTTGCCACCCTAAACTAATATTAATAGAACAATTGAGATTTGTTAAAAATATTATTGTAAAACTGTTTACTAATTCATTTTTTTTTATTTTTTGTTTAAGAACAAGTCGTAGACGAGAAAGGGTGAGACATCGCATATTTTTATAACGCTTTATAATAATATATAAAATTTTTATAGTTTATAATATAAATTTTTTAATTACTTCAATAATGTTTTTCAAGTTGCTATTAGTATAGTTTAAGCGTTAAATTTATCATTTATTATTTGTATTGTTATAATTAAGGTAACTATTTTGTTAATTATGTTAATTTAAAAATTAATTATTAATCATTGTTACAATTTACTTCTAATTTAGTAACAATAAACTTTATTGAAACTAAATTATTAAACTTGAATTTATCATTATTTTCAGCCCAAGTCATTTTATGAATGGACAATACCGTTTTCAAGTATTGAGCTTGGTGAGCTCGAGGCATTAAGTCCGAAAGGGCCGGTTTACAGGTACACCTTACTTAAACCATGTTTGCCAAATATATGCAAAACTAGGAGTGTTTCTTTAAGTTTTAACCCTTTCTTTCCCGTTTTATGAAATTAAAAAAGTAAAAAAAAAATTATAATGACATTCAATATTTTCAAAAAACAATTGCGAATTGACCCGTTCATTGCACATGTTGGCATCTAGTAGAAAATAGCAAAACTTAACCATTACCTAAAATTAAAAAAAAAGATAAAACAGGGTTTGATTTTTGAATTTAAAGTTTTTGTTGCCAAATGGCAACATTGTGAAAAAAAGGGTTAACGTGCGTGTATATATGTGTATAGAGGTCGTTGGCATGGAGAAGTTATGGTATATACTCGTTCACATGCAACTAGTGAAGAGATCGAGCAATTCAACAACGAGGTAAAATTTAACTAATTATAGTATATTTAGATAAATTGAACTATTATTTAGATACTAATATTAAAAACAAAGTGTAAAATAATTATTAGAGACATTAAAAATTATCAGAGATATTAAAAACATTGTTTACGTTATTTTCTAAAAAACAAACGTAAAATACTTTTTTCAATGTTTCTTTAGGTGTCGTTGCTAGGGTTAATACGTCACGAAAACGTTGTGTTATTCATGGGAGCGTGCATAGAGCCTCCAAACCTCGCTGTTATTACTAGGTTAATAGGAAGCTTGCTTCTTTTCTGTTTTATATTGAATCGTTAAATTTTTTTAAATATTTGAATTATGTTTTCATTTTAATGTGTGTAAACGTCATGAAATGTAAACTAATGTTTACTTTTAGTGTTCGAAAAGGTCATACACTATATTCTCATATTCATATGCACCAAACCTTATTTCATTTTGGTTCAAAATTCAGTATAAGCAAACAAATAGCGCAAGGAATGGGTTATCTTCACGCAAAAGGAATTACTCTAGGAAAGTTATGCTCAAAAAATATTTTTTTAGAATCAAAAGTTAAAATTTCAATTACAGACTACACAATGGTTCGCCAACCGTCTGTAAAGTGAGTAGTTATGATGTATTTAATACTATTATATATTTTTTACAATCTTTGGAATAATGACGTAAAATAAACGATTTAAATCAATAGAAAAACGGAATCGTAAATTTAGAATAAACTTCTTTTAAGGTTTTGAGAACTCTCTTAAAGTGGGTTTGATCTTTTAACAATAATTCTTCGTTTACCTCCTTCCTATCCGTCCTCCCAAACTTTCTCTTTTTTTTATATTTTGAGTATTAAAAAAATAAAAATTTTATTTTAACGATTTTTAATTTTTTTTCATTTCCTAATACTTGGATTGCAAGAATTATTTTTAAAAAGGTAATTTGTATTTATTAAATATTTAAAATCATAGACCAGACTACGGATGCATTCCTAAAGGTCACCTTACTTACTTAAGTCCCGAGTTGATGAAAAGTTTAAGGAAAAATGGTATCTATCTCTCCTGTTCAGAAAGACCTACATATAAGTCAGATGTTTTTGCTTATGGGTAAGTTTTTATTTTGTTATTTAGTTTGTAAAAACAGGTGACTTTGAGAAACTATTTTTGGCATATATATGTATTTTATATAAAACTAATAGAAACATATATATGCAATAAATAGAGAAAAAAAGGAAAAGAAAATAATATTGTATTATATATAAAAGAAGGAGCAAGATAACATATGGGGCAAATGACATTTTCTACAAGAAATTAACAACAACAACAAAAAGTGATTGAAAAGAAACTGTATATATATAGCTTATATTTTATATCGCCAATAGGTTTTTCAAAATAATTTTAACATGATTTTATGCGCAGTTTATTCAATTTTTTTTTTATACTTCAATCAGAATTTTATGGTAAGGAACTTGGAATCAACTTTGCCCATATGTAAATACGATTCGTCTAAAAAAAAATTTTCAATACTCATTTCTTTATTAGCTTTGCTATAATTTAATGGAGTTGCACACAACCAACAAAGCTTTAAAAAGTACTTCTTTTTTGTGGTATGTTGTTATTAAAGTGCTCCCAGAGGTCCATACGGTCTAATTACAGAGCACCATGGAAAAAAATTTAACAAGGAAGTTCACTCCTCCTTCCTAACCAATGTCGCATATTGAGTTAATGCTGGCGCCGAACCTCGGACTTCTTTGTTCTGAGCCAGATACTAACCACTGTATTACGGATGCACAATTTTAAAACTTACGTATAGAATTAAGGGAAAAAGAGCACAACCTTCTAAACTTTTAATGAGAGATATGAAAATAATAAATGTATATGAGAGAAACATTCACCAACATCTAATTTTCAAGAATAAAATAATAATAATCTAACTACTTTTAATTTTATCAGTTTGACAAAACTCTGTAGAAGATTGTATATTATTTCTTAGCAACTAATTGAATTCCATCGAAACGCAGAGAAAAGTAAATATACAAATTGTTAAATGTTTTTAAAAGATTATGTAAACACAGTAAAATCATTGACTTCATTTAAGTTTCAAGCAAAAAAACACATTTTTATTCTTGCAGAATATTATTTCCGAAATATTTGTGAACTTAATCAAATGTATATTAATTATTAATCTTGGCAGATAATGATCTTTTAACTATTAAACCTTTGTGTATATGTTTGTATATATTTTTAGATCTTCAAAATATTAAATTTGTGAATTAGTTATTGCAAATTATTTTTTGTAATTGCTAAAAAAACTTACTTTCTTATTGTATGAATAGTTTATTTTATTATTTTCTTATCATATTCTGTATAAAAAATAGTATTCTTATTAGGTTCTAAAGTTGAAGACAGAAAACGCATAGTTTAACCTCCTCATATCATTGTAACATTGTCTCGCCCTAATCATGTGACCAGATGTGAAATTTGTTCATTTTGTACTTTAATATTTATTAAAATTTTTCTACTTAAATACTGAAGGTTTACTTATTTATTATGATAAAATAAACTGACGAAATAATATTGACTTGTGATTTGGAAAAACTAAGGGTTTTCGAAACGTCCGTGATCCTGCTCATTCTCGTATATTATATATTCATATTTCAAAAAACTTGACAAAACTTTTAAAACCTCAGTAATAAGAAATAATAAAAAAAAAAAAGTCTTAATTAAGTTTATAAAGCCTGATTCAAAACCAATTCAGTGTTGGGCGACTCATTTTGTTTTTTATTTCTGGTCGTGTCAATTTTTGTTTCAAGACGCACTTCCTTGCTACTTTATGTTAGGATTGTATAATAGACCTAGGCAATAAGAAAAGAATTTTAATTATCAACATTAATAAAAATCCGCATCAAACTTCAAGTGAGTTTTTCAATTGTCAGACGTGCGTCAATTTAATGTTTTGGTCAACATTCGTTGTTGAAAAAAAAAAGAATGTTATTTGGCAATAAATCGGAATTAAATTGCTAATTAGCACTAATGTGTAAGCAACCTCATTCTGTACTTAAGAACAAAAATAAAAAAGCTGTTTTCTTTTTAGAAAGATTATTCAACATTTTTCTGTTCGTTTTTTGTCACACGTAGTTGACAAAAAAAGCACAGAAAAAAAATACAGCTTCCAGAATTTAGCTTTTTTTTTTTTTCTAAAGAAACGGAAGCAGTAGTGAATAAATTTTGATTCAAGAGAATGGAAACATAATGGAACAACTAAGAGAGAAAATTCATTTAGAAATGTTCTAATCTGGTAAGAATTACATAACAAACCAATTGATATTCTGGATAAAGTTTTGTAACATTTTCTACGCTTATAAACTTGTTATTCTTATCGTACAAACTTTATTATTTGCTTATTTGGAAGCATAAAAAAAACTAAACTAAATATTAACACAGCAGGTATTTTGGGCATATTAGATCTTACTTGAATATGGGAAAAAAAAAAAAAAAAAAAGTCACTCATATCAATATAAAAAATAAATATATGATTAAAAAATTAATTTAATTAAAAAAATATTTTACTCGCTTTAAAAATTAGTCAAATTCTAAGTTGATTGAGCTCAAGAATATCAGCCTGATTTTTAGATTTTTACCTCCCTTTATCCAATATAAATCTTGTTAATTAAAACAGTTATAAAATTTATAAAAACTGTCAAAATGAACAGTTATTTTTAAAAAAGTACTTTCATGCGTATTGTGTGTGTTTTCATACATGTTTATATTTACAAAAATAAAGGTTATAATGTATAAGGATGTTTATTAGGTTTCTGGATCTTTTTCTGAATGGTGTTTTAACATTTATTTTCAGTGTGTTTTGTTTGAAACAAAATTCTTTAAAAACTTAATTATAAAAAATAATATTTATAAACGGATTATTTTGACATTAAATTTTTGGATAACCATGAAAATTAAATTTTGTGACTATTTTAACAGGCTAATGTTTTTGAAATTAAAAAGAAATAGCCGCCCCTCCGGCTATACATTTATATTAATATAGTTGAAGTGTAAGGTAGATACCTCAACAAGTTTTTGGCCTAATACATTTAACTCAAATGTTGTTAAATCATTTAGGACACTTTTATATGAAATATTTTTGGGACGTTACCCTTTTCATGGAGTCTTACCTGAAATTATTATTTGGAAGATATGCAACCGACACGTTGATGTTCTTAAAGACGTTGAATTTCCATTAATATTTAAAGTAAGTTCAACTTTTCCATTTTTCAACTTTTTCATTTTAAACTTTTTATATAATGAAAAACTTTTATACCTCATTTTAACTTTTATATGTTATAAACAGGATTTAATACAGTCATGTTGGAAAAGCGAGTTAAATGAAAGACCAGAATTTCAAGATATCTTAACAAATATGAGAAAATTAAATATACCTGTAAGTTTAAAGAATATATATATATATATATTTATGTATATATATATATATATATATATATATATATATATATATATATATATATATATATATATATATATATATATATATGCCGTTGTTTTTATTTTAATAATGTTATAATTATATTTTATATTAGCATTATTCATATGTCCTCAGCGTAAATGAAAAAGAATATATTTCAATTTAATAATGAGTTTTTTTATTATTTTAGCGTTCGTTGCAAAAAAAGCTCAGTCTTTCCGATAGCGAAGCTATTCACAAACAACAACAAAGTAACGGAAGTGCAAGTTTTACTAGGCAACATTCGAACTCGCATTTTATTCGTTTAAATAGCTGCAAAATTGAATAATTTTTTTATTCCATTTTTAATATTTGTTGTTTATATAAATACCAAATAGATAGAATTTGTTTTCAAAATTCATTATTTGTGCTTTAGACGTCTAAAAGATGAGTTACAAAATAATCTTTTAGACGTCATACATATATATATATATATATATATAAATATATATATATATATATATATATATATATATATATATATATATATATATATATATATATATATATATATATATATATATATCCATAATTGATCCCAAGGGTCCAAGAATGTAAAAAATTTACACTTACATAATTTGTACATATTTATAACGGAAACTCAGTATAAATATTTTAAAAAAGTACCAGAAGTCTTTTTTGTTGCTTTTTATAATTTTCATTTCAAGATAGTTTGCCTTTTTGCACTAGATAAGAGTAATGCTCGGTTCCACACATTTCAAATTAGATTTTATAGTTTGGGGGTGGGGATTAAAGAGCATAATCTTTTGATAGTCAATTTTAAATATAAAACAAATTTATATTTTTATATTTTATTTCAAAGATAAAATGATTTTGATTTTCCAGTTAAAATTTTGTTGTTTTCAAATTTCAATCAATGATCAGCTGTTTAAACAAAGTCTAAACCAAAAACACTCTCTTCACTAATATTTACAAAATGGAGTCTAGAATTTTTTTTAAATCTTATATTAATCTAGAAATAAGACTCAATTTTATGTGCAGGTTCTTAATTGTTTCGTCTTATGTAAAGCCATTTTTAATAAGTTAAAAAAAAATTCCAGGCGTAGTAAAATCCTTAAATACATTATTATATTGTTCAATTTGAAAAAATTTCTGAATAAAGTCTTTTCTTATCTTATAGCTGGTTTTCTTTGCTGTTTTATATAATTTAAGAGTTAATTTATGCAAGTCATCTACTGACAAACATTTATTAGCAAAGCACATAACACTAAGTCTGTCATTTAAATAACGCGTGCCTTTTAAGTGATTTTCCTTACTAATTGCAGTTTATGGTGGTTATGAAATTTAAATAAATTAAAAACAAATTAAAGAGTATACAAATTGGTTCAAAATGCTTTGAAATATGCAGATTTGTTTAAAAAGCAATTATAAGAAACTAAGTGCTGTTCAACATTTTTTGAGCGAACTCATTTCTAATGCTTTTTGAAACAAAAGGATAAGAACATTAGAGTTGATACTTCTTATATTTTTTATTTTATCTTTAATTTATTTATTATTTATTTAAATATATATTTATATTTTATGTATCATTTATAACTCATTTATTAATTATATTTAATTAATTTATTGTTTATAACTTATTTTTAATTTTTGTTTTATTTATTTATTTAATTTTAACGGTTATTTAATGAGAATTAGAACCAATTTTTGGAATATAATGATATAATGAAAAAAAAAAAAAAAATAGTTTGTTATTTTCTCAATTTTATTAACTCAAGTCTATATCCTGATGAGATTTTAATTACTGATGAAAATATTAAAAACAGCTATTTCATGTCTAAAATCAAATAAATGCAATATCTCTGCAGAACATTTAAAACATGCCCAATGCGAAGCACTAACACAATGGTTAAGAAAGTTATTTCACTTTTCAATTAATCACGGATGGACCCCTACATCATGTCAACATTAACTATCATACCTCTAGTTAAATCCTATAAAAAATTACTTGTCGATCCAAACAATAACCGCGGTATCAACACTATTCCAATATTTACTAAACTCTTAGAATACCTTATCTTACTCACATGCTTGGAGATGAAAGAAACTCATCAACTTCAATTTGGTTTTAATAAGAGCTCAACCCTCCATGCTGAACTTGTTGTAAGCGAAACAATTAAGCATTATAATCGCAACAATTCGCCTGTTTATTTATGTTCACTAGATGCTTTTTTTAATAAACTTTATTTTGATAAAATTCTACCTCTCCAAATAGTTAACACTATATCTTCTTTATGCCGTAGTGGCAGTGCAACTTTCTCATACCTAGGTTGCAAATTAGTCTCATTTAACCTTAAGCAAGGAGTGAGACAAGGATCGATTCTGTCACCCTACCTATATAACATATACACTGAAAAGCTACTCGAAACTATAAAAAATGATAAAATTGTTGGTACTACAATAATATGGAAACTTGACTTGTGTTGTAGCTTATGCTGACGACATCATTCTTCTCAGCTCTACTCTCTTGGACCTAAAAAAACTTATTTCAACGTGTAACATATACAACAATTTCAACGGGATAAAACTTAATGCTATCAAAACGGAACTTTTGCTCTCTGGAAAAAGACAAATAACGAATTGCACAATATCTCTTGACAACCATCAAATTATACTTCGCGAGAAACTTAATCATCTCGGCTTTACTTAGAATACAAAAAAATCAATTTTTGCTTCACTAAATAGAATGAGTATCGATAGTATGAAATTTTTGGGCAACAGTGCAAACTCTGATTCAATATGGAATCCGGTTTGCACATTCAAGATCTATTATCCAATTATATAAATCAATAGCAGTTCCGACGTTAAACAACGGTCTAGAGCTCTGTAAAAATAAAGATACAACAATGAAAAGGCTTGACACATTTGGAAGGAACGCAATTAAATCAATTTTTAATGTCTCCAAGTATAGTAAAAACTATATACACTCTCTATTTAAAATTAAGGAGATATTTTAAATTTTTAAATATTATCATATTTTAGTACACGCAGTTCAATGTTGGAATGTAAAAGAACAGCGAACAATTTTTAAAAAAAGACACTTAAAGAATGCATTCCTAAATAATACTTTTTTATTTCTTTTTCTTACTTTGTGTTTTTACATTGCAAATATATTTTACAGAGGGTGATTAATAAAATATTAATAATAATAATAATAATAATAATAATAATAATAATAATAATAATAATAATAATAATAATAATATATAGAATAATATAATAAACTTTTTGAATTTAAAATACAAAAAGATATTTAGTATTGTTAAATATTAAAAATTTTTGTTTTGTTTTTATATAAAAACCAATTAAAACCGCTGCAATTTTAGGACTTTAAAGTAAGTAATTTCCATGAAAAACACTGGGTAAATTGAACATGCTCAATAAGCATGCTTATTTGACTTTATTTAAAGATGCCATTTTTGTGTAATATGAGCATTGGACAAAAATGGTATCTTTAAATAAAGTCAAAATTAAAAGTTTCTATGCATTATTTTTCAAACAAAAATGGAGCGGGTTTTTAGGTGACATATTTTTCTTTATGAATAAATTAAATTTCATTATTTTAGCATCAAAATCCGCGCCACAGATTTATTCATGCGTGATCATAATATTTTAACAACGCAAACTATTGCGTTTTAATTAGATGAGAGCCGCTAACTACTACATATTAATTTACGTTAATTATACTGATTTCTGTTATCTTCGCGTAAAGTCAATTCAAAAAATACAAAGCAAATTTAACTTCGCTACTTACATCTTCGAAATCTTTTAGTATGCTCATATTACCAAAGTGCTCATTAGCTTGGGCCTTGAAACAACTTTTTCTAAAAATTTTTTTACCCTTTTAATGTATTCTATATAATAAAATAATACTAGAATTAAAAATTTTCGAACCTTAAATTTTAAAACCTCAAGTCTACAACCCAGCCAGCATTGTGATGCGGGTACCATGTATGGATGTATGGGATAACAGTATGGGATGTCAAACGGGAACCTTACGGTATTTGGCTGCGGGATCTTTATGAGTACCATATAGGCCAAATAAAAAAAAAAAAGAAAAACTTAATGGCTGCATTTTCTTTATACACGTATTGACCCTAAAATTTTCCCGTATGTATTTTTTTATTTGTTACTATGTATAAATTAGATTTTTTATACTTTAAACTAACGACAATTTATTTAAAGTTTTAAATAAAAAAATAAAAAAATAAAATAATAATAATAATAAAGCAACTTTTTTCATTTTAAGCAAATGAAATAATTAATTTAATTATGATAATTTTTTATAAAATATTTTAAAAGCTAAATGTTTTATATGCAAATTAAAAACACAAGGACATAGACATGTATGTTTTATTAAATTAAATAAACTGTTATTACATGTGTAATCAATATATATACAAGTGTTTGCTGCTGTATTCTTTACGTTACATGTTTACTGCTGCTTTATGTACATTCAATATGTTTTTTTCTGTGTTTGATGCTGCTTTCGAAATTCGTTCTTTTCGGCCGTCTTTGCCTTTATCTCGAGCATTACCAAACCAATGAGAAAGTGCTTCTTTAAGAGGTTTTTTAATAAATTTTATTTTATTGCTTTTTTATGCAGCTCCTAAACATACGTTAGTTGAAATAAATTGCAAAAGAAATGTTACTATAGTAACATTTTTTTGTAATATATTTTATCCAAAAGTATGGCATTAGGTAGTCTCAACATACTAAAATGAAATATTATGATTTGATTTAGTAAGTTTACCTTCTTGATTTAGTAGGTATATATTAATTACATATAAAATAACAGTTTATTTTATATAATGAAACATAAATGTCTATGTCCTTCTGTTTTCAATTTGCATATAAAATATTTAGCTTTTTAAACTTTTATAAAAAATTATTATTATCAAATTAATTATTTAATTTGTTTAAAATGAAAAAAAATTGCTTAAAACAAATTGTCGTTTAATTAAGGTAAAAATCAAAGTTATGCAAAGTAAAAAATAAAAATAATAATTCCGAAAAAATTCTGGGGTTTTCTTTTATATGGAATAAAAGAAAAAGCAGCCGATAAATTTTACGTTATTTTTTATTTGGCCCGTATTGTACCCATATAGATCTTGCGACTAAATCTCGTATGGTTCCCATTTAACATACTAAAAACTTGAAAAATATGAATTTGAATAAAAAATTTAAGTTGTACTCATTATAAAAAAAATGTTGCGGAGTTCAATCGGGGCTTAACTAAAAAACGAAAGTTGAACTTAAGAAGAACTTAACTGAAAAAAAAATTGGAA